ATGTTCAGAAATTATATTCCACTCGTATCCTAATAGTAAGGAGAATTACTTTCTCGCTATGTTATTATTTGAAAAGATGTTTAAAATGGTATGACATTTTTGATGTACAAAATGATATTAAATCAGTATTTTGGACTTGGAATAAGTAGCTTGCATTCTAAACATTAAATGAAACCAAAGAAGTCTACTATTGCCATAAAACTAAAAGCATTTCTTCACCACGCCATACAATGAATTAATTATAGTATATCAAAAGTAATTTCATTAACAATTTAAGAAGCTTTTACGCATATTTTTATATCATTTCTGCCTTCTCGCGTGAAGTTGTTTCGTAGATCTTAAATTGGCTGAGCATATTTCCTTAATTAATCATATTACCGTTTGAGGTTCTATGTCCATAGATTTTACTATTCGTAAGTAAACACCTTTTTTTGAAAATCATATATGTAGGTAAGTTGGGCAAAACACGTGCGAATTTTCAAGTGACTTTTGCATTGTTGTTATTTCTATTTTTAATGATAAGTTATCACTTTATTGTGAAAATCGTCTATGTAAGTAATTTGGGCAAAACACGTGCAAATATTGCAGTGATTTTTCAATTGATGTTATTTCTATTTTCATTATTAATGATATAAAGCTTAAAAACAACAAAAAGTGGACTTTAAATCTATCCTTCTTCTGGATTTAAACTGTACTTTTGAATAAGTTTTTATTCAAACATTTTTTAAAAAATCCAAAATTTAAAGCTTTCATATAAAGAATATCTTATGTCATGTATATGTGTTACCTTTATGCTCATATAAGTGCAATACCCAAATTAGAAAAACAACTAAGAAATACTTTTAGTTGCAGAAATACAAAGAAAAGCTTTGCCTAGCACGAAAGCTATATAACAGCCTTTTATGTCACCGTAATTGTTTCAATTTAAAATCTTAAATAACTTTGCTAAGACAAAAGTAAATGACATAGTGTCCTTGAGTCACCCAAACAATTCAAATTGTATTATTTGTACACGCCATTAACTGGTCCGGCTTTGTCTGTTTTTATTTAGGGCTTTTTATCAAAATAATCAAAACGCAATGTCTGACATTGAAATACCTGTCTACCAAACACAAGGAATGAGCTTTGTAAATAAGTATACATTTTATATACATAATAATAACAAAGTGAAAGTTCGCACTTTTCTACGGTAGCTAGGAATAGGGGTTATAAAGTACTGATGTATTTGGAATACTTCATGCTAAACTGTGAAAGATCTGTGTGTACAGAAACAAAAGTAAATGTTTTAATGTCACTAAAGCTGTCTTTATAATGATAACGAGCAGAATGTCCATCCGCCCGTTAAGTCACAAAATGCAACTTTCGCTGTCAAGAACCGACCCCACAAATGTCTTAAAACGAAGTTTGAAGCACAAAGTGGTGATAATATATCGTCATACAATATCCAAACATTATTAGACAAAGAAATGAAATTTAAGCCAAAAGTATGTCACTACACAGCGGTCATTGAGCACATAATCGCACAGTAATATGTGACAATAATAAAGGGGGTAAGTCAATGCTGATATATCAATATCAATAACCGATATTGATAATGTCTTAACATATGGCGTGATCCATCGAACAAAATGGCCGTGTAAGAGCTGAAAATAGTAATAAGCTTTAAACAACACCTACCCTGTCTGCCAGGTAAATAGATATATAGGAAAGATCTTTTAATATTTCTTTATATAAAATGGCTAAAACCTTTACGTTTTTATGATCAAGCATGCCACCAGTGCAATAAATAGATTTTTTTTGTAATGATATCTTTTGAAGTGTGAGGAAGATTCGATAAATCTTATTAACATAACAAAAATACAATGTACCTGAATAGTTTTTGCCAAATAAAATAAAGCTGCGCGAGGGACAAATATAAATAGGTTTTAAGTTAACCATCTCTGACTGAGGATGGTATTTTTTTGCAGGTCTTTTTTCAGGTAAGCGAACTCATGAGGTTCTCATGACCCGCTAGTTTGTTTGAGGTTTTTTCTTCTTTTTTATTGTTTTGTATATTTGCTATCATCAGCTTACCGTTTCGCCTAGACACAATTGATTACGTTAATGATACCGGATATGGATGACATCGTGAAGTTTGATTGACATTTTGTGACAAGGAAATAACTCGCTACCATATCGTAATAGCCTTCTTAAACCAAGCTAGTTAATGTCAAAATGGCACACTATCGGAGTTTTAGTTCAGACATAATATATCGAGTAGCAGACACAAACAACACGCACACACAAATAAACGTGTATTTGGATTTTATCGTACTTAATCATTCCTTATAATTTGAAAATAACAGGGACAATTCATAGACATAAAACAACGCTAGTGTCAAAATTAAATATTTTATTAGTAAAATGATTAGTACAGTGTCTCATGCATTATTCCTTTGACGTCAGTTGACTTTAAAAGATATGTGATTGTATTCCAGAACTCATTTGATTTAGTTTAAGTATGAACTCAAGCAAGCATCTCTCAATCAAATATATAATCAAAGCGCTGGAGAAATAGAACAATGATTACTTGACATATAAGGGGAATTTTCGAAAAAAGTACTGACTTAAAAGTGCAGATCATAATCAGATGACACGTATATTATGTTATCTCTATGTCATTTTATCAGTGATACTTCTTTTAACGAAATGTTTTTATAATCTGTATTTTAGTTCTTAATTTATAAAAGCATTGCTTGAAACCACTGAATGATTAAGTTCTGAATAAATCGTCTCTTCTACTTTTTTGTTGTTCCCTTTACTGCAATGTAATGAAAAGTAGGAGTAGTATCATTGCAAATCACTATCCTGAACTCTAACAGACTCTTACGGAATTTGAGAATTTGTTGATATCTAATTGGACAATAATTATCTGTTCAAAAAGACATACGTCACCTTTTCACGAATATTTCTAACATTTGTCTAAACTTGACATGTTTTTGGTTATTCCTTTTTTTCTTAATTTATCAAGTTGAAAGCAAAACAGCTTTACAAAAAGCAAAAAAAAAAGATTTAATATTAGTTTCGTTATAAATCACAATACAATCATAAAAACATCTTAACAGCTATGTTGACACATATAACTGTATCATACGTTATTATTTTAAAATTCTTGAATCTTCAAGTTGAAATAAAACAAACAAACATGCTGCAAATTCAAAACGCATAAGCAAATTTCGTTCAAGTCCCTTAGAATTATATATTCTAATTTGGTTTGCTACATCTATCAAGTCCTGTCAGCTGAAGTGACACCGAAAGCAAAATTAAATTTTAATTTAAAAGATACATGTCCTCCCTTTTTATCTCATTGAGCAACCGAAGACTTTAAGAAATGGAATTGTCCTATCATTTGATGATTCTGTCTCTATTTCTTGTTTTAGTAACTACCTTCTTTATTGTCATACATACATTTACATGACAATTCAAGGCTATGATATTCAAGATACGAGTATAAAAGAATAGCCGTTTGATCTTTCATTTAAGATCCACAGAACGAACACCATAAGCAATAGCTTCCAATATGTCGAAACCAAAAGGATAATTATAAATGCTGGTGTCCACCAGTGAAATTTATTTTGATTTAACACGCAAAACAAATTAATTTTCTATCTATATCATACATTTGATGTTTTAAGTTATTTCATTTATTTTTGCTCTCCTTTTTGACGTTATGATTCCATGGCGTGTCAATTCAAAATTAGTTTGAAAAAAAATCTTAAAAGGATTTTATTCAAAAACATACAGATGTCCTGCATAACAAATTCGTCGTAGTCATTCTTTTAGTAAGATAAAAGATAGAAAGAAACCACAAATAGAGCCACGAGGAAATAATTCAGAAGAACACATTTCTCGAATTGTTTCGAAACATTAGTTTCAAGCACTCGGTTCTCTTGCAAGGCTTCTGACATAATGTGTTTTTCCACGTGCACGCAACTATCATATTAATTTCAAATACTCGAATTTCTTCCTTTAAGTTTCAAGAAAAGCTATCAATGATTATTTTTCTTTCTTGATTCCTGGAAAACTCATTATCGCTTTTAACTAAATAAACAGAATTGATGTTCCCGCAACAACACAAAGTTTTAAACGGATATTTTATTAGAATGTGTAATTGATAAATATGTAAAAAGAAAGAAATTTACAAATTTACTTTTGTTTGCGGGCATAGCTGCACTACAATTGGGAAAAGGCAATTGATTTGTAGATCGTAATTATCCAAAATCAAATAAATGATATTTTTTGCAACATATTGTTTTTATACAAGGAATATCACCGTTACTGTGCACGATTTTCTTTGTTTTATAATGCAAGAAATGTAGTCAAACAGTCAATAGTCAATTCCAGTCAAGTCCTAGACATTTCCTTTTAAGACCATTATTTCAATATGAGTTTTAGGCATGGATTTTGCAACTTATATTTATAGCTTCCGAGTCCGTAACCAGTACAAATGTCATGCGGAACACACGGTAGTAGCCAGAAAAGGACTTTGATTAACCAGTCGTTCACGGCTGTCTGTTCGATATGATTGTATAAATGTAACGTCAGTATAAAATATATATATTTTTAGTTACGAACTACTACGGAACTCACAAAGTTAAAAATCATGATTAAAAGGTGTCTATTATTAAAAGACTTTATTTGTCCTGCATATTGTGGTGTTTCGTGGAACATCGTTTATATGTATGATTTGAGGCTAATTCTTTTATGAAATATAGCTGATCCTTAATGTGTAATGTGGGTTATTGTGTATTTTACTCACATGAGGCGGTCACAACACATATTTAGGGATACGTATTATAGCATGTTAATTAATAATAATTTTAAAACTTCATTTCTTCCGTTTGGTTAGTTATTCCTCTTACTACATATGTATGATTGATTTTGAATACACATGACTTTTTTTCATCCGGGTCTTTCATCTTTCAAATAGAAGAATTCAGAATTTGGATTTCACATTATCAAAACTTTTTTCCCGAAATAAAGTCTAAAAGTGCTTGTGAGAATAAAAAATGGCATCTTGTAATAATTCACAAAGTTGATGAGACCTTAAGGTCATAAAAATTCTGTTGATTGCCATATATTTGACATTTTCCGGGAGATTTATTGGCTTCCAATTTTGAACAAGAAAAAATATCTTTGATGAAAGGAGAAATGTTATACTGGATCACCCGGATACGGAAGTACCGCCATCTTGTTCTAACGTGTCCTCATCTGATTGGTCATTATCACAAGATTGGGCGTGGCCCAACATTACCCGGATAGTTTTAAAATCTGATTGTTCTACTAGATCAAGTGGTCTTTCTCCATCTTCTGTCAATATTGTTTTGTCCGCACCGTTGTCCAGTAAGAACCTGGAATTATGGTACGATAAATGATTTATTTTTATTTTGCAATTGAAATTAAGGTTATTTCATGATATCTAAGACATTTCAACAATTTTGATGCACAAATATCAAAATGTTTAAGTTACAAATGACAACAGTGTTTGACACATAACACTAGCAGATCATACTGCCATACTATGTCACATATTAGATGTTTACGTATATTATTAGGGTGTTTTTCCCCTTTCATTTTTATATTACGATTATTTTGAAAATATAGAAGTTATGCTTTGACTATTAAGCAAATGATACCATTGAATCGGTAATATCATAGATCAAAGGCAAAAAAGGGAAACATATATTATATAAGCTAAAATCCCGGAATATATATTCACTTACTTGACAATATCAGCGTATCCTTCGGCACACGCGGCATGTAGCGGTGTCCAAGAATCATCGTCTTGTTTGTTGATATCTGCACCATGAGCTACCAGAAGTCTTACAGCGCTTTCATTGCCGTCTAGCACCGCTTGATGTAAAGGCGTTAACCCTATAGAATAAATTAAAAATTTATAGGTGATATACCTTCTATTAAAGCTACAAAAGATTAAACGACATTATAATACTATGAAGCAGTGTTGTATAGTTCTGACAATGTGCTCTCACAAATCCATAAATGGTGTAGAGGGAAATAACGAATCAAACTCTTACTCTTTGTTTATATCAATATGAATTATCAAACATCATGTATACCTTACACATTACACATGTACTGAAAATACATGTACACTGTATAGTTGTACTTAATTAAAGTTTAAGCTCGCTGAAATGTGAAAAAAATCAGTTATTTAAAACGAAGTGAATCGCTGTTTGTGCATACATTAATGGATTTATTGCATATAATTTTCTGCACGGCCTGTTTGTTTTTGTTTTTAAAACAGTTGTGATTATTACTGACTGTAATTGACTTACGTGGAGACTGATAAAAAAGATAATCATATCCGTCTAAACAACTGGCATGCCCTTTACAGATGTGCCACAAAAATGACATTTACTTGATTCATTCTTAACAAGTAGCCACAATAAAATAAGGCAACTAAATATATAACAGCGTTCAGCGCTATGTGATGCTAAACTGTTGAAAACACCAGTGTATGAAAAGACGTTGATTTGAGAAAATGGAATTGATTAGTCACATTATTGCTTTTAAACATTTTTTATTCTTTTTTACATGTTGTATTAATTGTGCTTAAACTTCTGCAGTTTCGTTATGTTTTTTTCTCTCAGTTCACCATCAGCTCATCAAAAAATTTTCCAAGTAAAGATATATAAAATAAAAATTTTAGTAAAAATTAAAAAGTGCTTTCATGACAATGAATGATAGTGTATATTTTTTCTAAATAGTAAAGTATAAATGGTACTAACACAAAATCAAAATATTTCTTATCAGCTAATCTACTCAAAGATCTTTCTTACTTACCAGCATCGTTAATTCCACTTATGTCAACTTGTAGACTGGCTCTCCGCAACATATGATCCAATGCATGTATGTCATTTTCTTTAATATTGTCCAAAAATACCAACTCATCGGGAAACCGTACACCTTTCTTTTTAACTTCCGGGTTTTGTTTTGCGAATAAACTTGCTCGTCTACTCATTATTTTTTGTTCTGCTTATCTAGAAGATATTTATTAAATACCTATTTTAAGATCTTTTAGAATGAAATTAATGGCACTGCGTGTGGCATAATTTGCCACAGAATAATAATAACTACCTTTCAGAAATCCTTATATCGTTTATGGACACACTTTAATCTGTCATTTTATGAATATAAATATGAACACAATTTTAATAAGTAGTATTTACATGATTTACATGTCATCAAAATGTGAACGTTGTCCTTCTATGTCATTTAAAATAAAATGCATGCATTTTTTCTTTCCTGTATATACTAGTACTAAAATGTATTATAGCATAAAATCGGCTATTTTTCCCTTTTTTGCCCATGTTATAACGGGGCCAAAACCATGCGTTAACATAGTCACGCGCTCTTGTTATAGCCCGGTTTTACCTATGCGCAATACATAGAGGGCCCAGTAAACAAACAAAAAATGACGATTTGGCCTGTTTGCCAGTATCATGCGCTCTTGTTATATTGGAATTATTAATTCGAGGGCCTCAGTCGCATAACGGTGAGCAGCATTCAAGTAATTATGCCGGCAATACGGCGTATAGACAACGCCGCTTATCTTGGTTGTCGCCCTTTCTTAGAAACGGACAGTTGTCAGTGTAAACAAATAGAATCTGTCATTCAGTTAAAAATCCCCCGATTAACTTACAAAAATGGAAAGCACAAAATGAATATAAGAAAACTTTGTTTATTGACGTTTATATTGATAAATGTTCTGTATGTTTCTTTGAGAGAATAATGTTTTATGCCTGATTTTTTTTAAAACTTGCGTGCTTAAAAAAAACCGATTCTGAAATTGAATCTGATGTCACTGATCTTTTTCCTACCGCCAATCTGTAATCATTCTAGGAATTTCTGAGGCACCTGTTTTGTCTTGGGTAGAATAATGTTATGTTTTCCTTAAGTTATTATATCTCCAAAGTTAAACTTTGTTAAATCAATTAAAATTTGAAATTTCGTTCGGTTCTCAAGTTGTTGGCCCCGGAAAAAATAAAACGCATACGTAAAACATGTAGAGTTGGATAAATACCGTTCAAGCACAAGCATTTAATGTTTGTGTTTTATATATAATATACATCATGAATCTGTTTTAAAATTTTATGCTATAATAGCGTCAACGCACGTTTATTTCGTGTTATAAAGTCTGCAGAGTCCCTCGGAACTGTTGGAGCCCTCGCCCTACCGGGCTCGGGCACCAACCGTTCCTCGGGACTCTGCAGACGTTATAACACGGAAAAACGTGCGTTAACCCTATATACTAGTTATTTATGAAATCATTTGCTATGTTCATAATATATATATGCGGTTTTTAAAATCGTTCACAAATTTCTTGTAAACTAATTATTTATTTTTTCCTATAATATTTACGTTTACTTTATATGAATACATATTCTTTATATTCACAGATGGATAATTCTCAATTCTAACATTCCGGGTATTCTGTTTTCCATACGTGAACATTACAGCTAGTATCCAATTTTCCCACAACATAACTCACTCTGGAGAAATTGTTTTCCCATCTTGATTCTGCTATCACAGAGTGTAAATTCCAATAATTATCTTTTGAACTTCCGTGTTTCACGTCTGTTAATATGCACTTAAAACAAAAAAGTGTTCTTGTATATATTTTTACAAAGAATATATAAGATAACATATGTGAACATTATAAAAACTATTTACGTTTTCTCCCAGTTCATTTGAAAACAAATATCTGTTAAATTTCAATCGTAAAGCCTTCACTTATGAAATAAAAGAAAGACCATAAGCAAATTGTACATTTTGCAAATTGTATTTTTATTCAAGTACATAAGCATGTACTTGAAAATACACATAGAAAATAAAATAATTGAACTTCATAAGTTATAAATAGTTGTTATTTAAATATTAAAGTACATTATAAATTAGCTTTATATTATTGTATTAGCGTTTCTGCCCTGCAATTATAGATATTTGAAAAAGAGATTCTAAAACATGCATACATGTATATGACGTAAGCAGGGCTAATACGGAAAAAACGAAAATAAAACTGCATTGGTTTAGAAAAATGACCATTATTAAATGTTTTATTTTAAGATTGTGTCATATGTATGCATTCTCTTTAAAACAGTTACATCTTTCTCACGTTTCTATAACAGGACCAATATAAAAGCATCCTATATTGTGTATATGAAAACTGGAAAATGAATCTGAAGTTTTTCAATATTTTTATTCATCTGCATTTGTGATTACGAGTCCAAGAACATGTATTTCAAAATGTTCTTTCACTTTCTGCGGTGATTAATAAATGAAGTGATATATACTTGACAAAATAACCCAACCAAAAACAGAAACTGTTTAAATAATTGATGTAAGAATTCAATATTGAATGTCATATATCAAACTACAACTGGCATCTATTACAATGAATTATACAAACCAATAAATGGTGTCCTCATTTTTTTCCAGCGTTTCTAGATTAAGTCCCGAAATCTTTAAATAGACTGTCTTATTTCATCAACTTACACTCTTGTGTTTGGATGTTATTTTGGCACCGTCTTCAAATACTAATAAACGTCTCTTCAAAAGGCTGACAAACATTTGTTTTGTCCCTTTTTGCTATTTGCTTTTCTGTCATTGTTTCGCGTATCGATCTATAGTGTAATCTTTATCAGAAATAAATCATTTGCTTCCATTTGCCAACAATAATTACACCGGAAATGAGTGGAAGGTGAAGTAAGATTGATACTTTGTCTGATGATGTTCAAATACATTTTACGATATGAAATTATGTTTAATATTTTAAATTATCCAATTCCTAAAGACATGTAAATTTATAATCAAAAGAGCTACATGTATATAGTCCAAATGGGTCGGGCTACAAGTTATAACAACATTAGCAACAGTCCTGTTAACACAGCCTCCCCGGCCCCTACACACACAAACCAAGTCAATGTGTTTATAATGATAAAGTCACTGAATGCTTTTAGATGACCATGATTATAAAAGAAAGCTATTTCGAAAATAAAATAAAATACTTTCATTCGTTTATAAAGTAGATACAGACTAAAAATATGACCAAAAATATATATAAAGATATATGAATGTAATTTGTTCTCCTATGATGTGATGATTTTAAAGATGAAGTTGTATTGCTTATGTCAATCAAATTTGTTTTGTGTATTTTATGTATATTAATAAAACAGCCTCTAAATGTGACAATGTATCTGAAACGTCTTATTAAAAAGATGTTACATATACATAAATATCATGAATAATGCATACTGGAGAATATCAATGATATATGTTTTGGCCATGATAAATGTATCATGTATATGTAAGCTGCAAGAAAGGCTAATGAGGGAAAGCAGAGATCATGTCAAAATAATTATTAAAATTACTGGCAAACATAACTACGTAATGGAATTGTTGTTTTATCATGTCACAGTATAATATGTAAGACATTGCTTCAAGAATCTCGTGTAATTGTTTGACGTCAAATTCTGCTTCAGCATTTCAGAAATAAGTAGGGACATATTCATCCATTTATTCCTTCAGGCACAAGCTGTACAAAATGAGAAATTCGATGATATTATCATCGAAAAACAAAAGTGGCACAATTCGCGGCAGTGCATTTACAAGCTACAAAAATTTATTTTGTTAAAATAACCGTAAAATGATAAGTACAAAGAAACTCCTGACATTCTATTGTAGATTTTTGTAAAAAGATAAATTTATTTGTTGTAATAATACAATTCGATAATCTTAAATTGAAAAACATTTTTTCTTCTTTTTCTATTGTTCCGCTAACTGAAACTTAAATAAGATAAAATATCAAGGGTTTTATGACAAGATTAAACTTTTATTTAACCAATATCTCACTGTGTCTTCTTTCGTCCATTAAAAAATAAATGAGATAAAATATGAAGGGTTTTATGACAAGATTAAACTGTCTTACTGTGTCTTCTTTCGTTCATTTAACCGACAAAAAGTAAAGTCTATCAACTCCTACAATAGACAATAATTACTCTTTCAAAGGATTAAAGTAGTTTTCGCGGATTTGGGCAACTCCTCACATGAGCTGTTTTTAACTTGTTTGAAACAGAATTCGCTCAATAATAAGCGATTACCATCAAGCATGTATTATATAATTATACAACAAACAAACAAACAAACAAACAAACAAACAAACAAACAAACAAAACACGCGCCGATGTATAAATATCCGACACAGCACATATTTCCACATTCCGCTCTGTTTTTTCGTTCAGATATTTTTGTTTGAGAATAAGGAAAGGATAACACGTAAACAATAGTTTATTAAAATGGAAGAACGGCAAAGTCTTTGCGGGAATCCAGAGTTTGAAGGGATTTATTTAACGGAGTTGCGAGTTTTAATCAAATTTGGTGAATGCAATTTTTTATTTACTTATTTATTTCGTACCGGTATTATTTATTTGAAATCTTTCTTATTTGTCTGTTAATGATTAAAATATATATGTTTATATATGTTTAGTGATTTGATTTTGTTCGAAATATATTCAATGAACCAATGAATATAAAATAATACTTTGATATAATGTATAACCATTACTGCTTTTACTAATACATTTTCGGTAAGGAATCGACATATATTTTCCATTAAAACTAAATGTATGCACAATACGACAATTCATGTATTTCTTTTCTAAAAAATAATTTATTCAATATTTCAGGTAATGCTTCTTTGAGTGGCAAAATCCAGCAATTGTACAATGAATGAAGGAGGTTTGATGATCAAGGTAAGTTCCAATTATGTTTTATTGAACCATTAAAAGCACTAATATTTGCAATGAATATAGGATGTTTAAGATACACTTTCTCTATTCTCTAAAGTCTTGTTTAAATTGAGATTTTCTGTTATTTGGGATTGAATGTTTTGCAAGAACGAATGACTTGCGATATTTAAATAACATCAAATATAAAACTGTATAAAACACACTCCAAGTTATTCACGTGTATTTTAATATAAATTTGTTCCTCATTTCAGAGTTCGAAAGACGCCACTGACAAAAATAATATGCCGTGAAAATGATGTGTAGTAAATACTAAAGCGGTGAAAAAAGATGTGTGAGGAAATGCCTCTAAACTCTGGACGTTGTTATTGTTATAACATATTTTTCGTTAATGTTTTTGTAAAAAAATAAACGACTATAGAAAAAAGTGACAAAAAAATCCAAAAAGCCATAAAGAAATATAATTTCCAATATGCAACTGATATTTGACATTTCGTCTTTTTGTTTGATCTCTAATATTATT